CGGAAATTCTGAAAACGTGCTGTTTTTCAATATTTTGTGATTTTGTTGTCGAATCGAATTTTCTGTGCCGTAAGGGAAGAGAACGCAATATTTAATTTAACGTAATAAAGTAAATACTTAGAACATTAAAAATTAATAGCAAAAAAGAATGTTTTGCAAAGCCGTCTTAACAAGAAAACTGGACATTGATGAACTGAGAAAAGGCTGAAAAAAAAGAGGGGAAAATAAACTAATACAAGAAAGCTTTTTATTATTTTTTATTATTACGTACAAATGGGCTTTTTTTTTTTTTTTTTTTTTTCTCCGGAGATAAAAGTGTTTCTCTCCCCTACATTGTTTCATTGCTCGCTTTGAAATTGTTGAGATTTTTAATCAAAAATTCGTCAATTTTTACAAGCTATGAAATAGGCAATAAAGCAAATTCGAAATTCCAAACTTGGTCTTCCACGTGACCATGTTCGTGCGGAAGACTAAGTTATTCAAAATTTGATGATTATAGGTACCGTTGTTTTTTCCACAGTGCGAGAAGCATATATACGTTCTTGCAGATTCTTTATTATTTAGTTTCTTTAAATATAACATAGTGTGATAGTATTTGGCGGCAAAAATTTGAAAAGTGATGCATTGCATTTAAGTGATTCAACGCAAAATACAGTTTCGAGACTCACAGCGCCTTTGTACTAAAACAACATCTAACGCTACATCGGGAATTCTAAACGTATAGTGCTATACTGCTTTTAATTTTTTTTTTTTTAATTTTGCTGTTGAATTGTATAATTGTGTCTATAAATATATTCTAGCATCATGTTGTCATGTTTCAAGATCTAAGTACATACAGAGTAACAGCTGTAGTAGAATTGTGTATAATTAATATTCACACAAAAGTGCATTTTAAAATTTATCGAATTTACGCAGTATCTATGTGTATCAATACTTAAGTTTTTTATATATCGTAATTTAGCGTAAGTTTCTACCAATCTCAGTGTATTGTATCTACTTGTATGTTACAGTAGTATAATAGAATAATTGTATTATCTTATCTACGTGTATTTTTGTGTATATGGTACTTACGTATTAGTGTCAATGTATATTAGTGTAGAGTATATTAGTGTGTCGCATTTATGCGCATTGGTGTAGTGTGTCTATCTTTTAGTGTACAGTATCTTAGTGTGTAGCATTAGGTACATTGACGTATCGTGTCATTGGTGTAGTGTGTCTATAAATGTACTCTAGCATCGTGTTGTCATGTTTCAAGATCTAAGTACATACAGAGTAAAACCTGTAGTAGTATAATGTATTATTAATATTCATACAAAAGTGCATTTCAAAATATATCGAATTTATGCAGTATCTATGTGTACCAATACTTAATTTTATATCTATCCTAATATAGTGTGTCTACGTAGCTTCGTGTAAGTATCTACATACTATATCGGTGTATCGTATTCATGTGTAAGTTATTGTAAAATAATAGAATAATTTTATTAATGTGTTTTTATGTGCATATCGTACCCACGTATTAGTGTCAACGTATATTAGTCTATAGTATATAAGTGTGTCGCATTTTGTAGTATATTGTAGTATTAGTGTGTCGCATTTTGTAGTATTAGTGTGTCGTATTATAGATAGTTGCAGGTTCCGGACAGCACCCGAGTAGTCATTGTAAGCCGTCCGGGTGTCCGGCCCTGCTGTCACCTGTCACCTGTTGAATTGTATATGACGTAAGTGCGAAGAAAATGATGCTTAATAATAAAGCTAAAAAGACAAAAAAAAAAAGGGGGGGTGTTAGTGGGAAGGCGTGTACAACAGACTGGTAGACTGCAAGCTCAGCCAGAGAATAAAGAACCTTAGCAAACCCTTTAGGGCGATGGTTAAAACCTGAAATCTTTCAGATTTTTTTAATATTTATTTATAAATTTCAGTATTCCTCATGGCTATCATAAACCTGTAACCAAAGTGTAGATAGCGAATTATCTCCAAGTCTAAAATAACAACTGAAACCTGAGAAGCATCTAAAAGACAAGTAAAAGAGCGTTTTGTTTTTAAAACTGAAAAGAACAAATGGCACATGTGGTGTTTACAAATCAGTCCCAACCACATGTGCCGATGTAACTTGAAGTAACACTGAAATGTGAAAGGTTAAATCAAAATAATCTTGCAGCCGGGATAGCTACACAAATCACTTTAACGTAAAGCTGGCTCACAAATGTAACCTGCGTGGAGATTCAATAGCGGCAATTAAAATGCAAATCCGAAGAGTACAAATCTTATCAGACCTAGCAACCTAGTAACGTAGCTTAAAGACGCAGAACGCTGTCTTTCTTAAAATCTAAAAGCTCAATTTAAATGCACACGAACCAGTTCGCATTCTATCGTGAAAACTAAAGGGAAAAGCTATAGTAAAGGTCTAAATCATAAAGTAACCAGTTAATTAGCATAAAAGAACCCTATCAATTATATATTATCAAAATATATGATATCGTCAATTGTTTATCGCAAAATTTAACAACCCATTTTGACATCGTTATATTTAGTTATATTTACTTAGCTTCGTTGTTATGCTTGAACAATACAAAAATGCTTTTTTTCTTCTTCAGTTATTGTGAAAACCTCTGGCCTATATATCGATTGATATAAAAATAGTTAACGAAGATTTCTTTCTACAATCTTTTATTAGACCATCTGAATAGATTCTGAAAATGTTGGGAAACATTTATGAGGAATGCAAACGCAAAATCGCCCAAAATGCTAGCAATATGTTTAAATATTTAAGATTTAACATAAACAAAAAGAATAACATGTTATTTCGTGCAATAAATATGGAAACTTTAAGGTTCTGTCATTTTTAATGAACTTAAATATGTCTATATATTGCATTGCCTTTAATTACAGAAAAGAACTTTCTAAGTAAGAAACTCAGCGAAAATGCTTATGCTAAGAAAAATTAAGATGAATGTTTGATTTTTCCTAATTTTCTTTCCAGCTTTATACCGATAGTGTAACAGTGATTTCATTCTGGTGTCTATGGACCATATGCTACTCCCTAAGCAACTTATGCGGCCAGCGAAGACATTCCAGTTATGTATTTATTGCAAAATCAGTATTGCACAAATTTTAAGATTATAGTTTTTTGAAGTCCGAGTTTATATTATTTTCATTTCGATTAGAAATGAACATGAATAATGCTTCAGAAAATCTATAAACAGAGCTAATTAATTTAATATTTGATATAAATCTCATTCAAAAATATTAAGATACAGATTTTATTAGCTTTTACTCGTACTTTCCAAAAACATAAACAGCTCAGTTAAGAATTTTTGCACTAAGAATAATCGCTACTTTTTTTTTGCAATAGAAAATTAATAAGAAAAGAATTCGATTAACATATGATCATCTACATTCCATGATGAAGATTATTCGAGTAATTTCCAAGGTTAAAAATTTTTCTCAGAGTCAAAACGCAATCCAGTGTATAGTAAAAATCCAGTCTATAATAAAAAGTAAAGTTTATATCTGTTTACGTACAAACATATGCATTTTTATTTAAGCGTGAAAGAAAAATTAAATAAATAATAGAAAAAGACTAGGTTGATATTGTTTATAAAATTTTTCCCTCATAAAATTTGTCCCACTTGATAAGTTTTCTCTGAAAAGTTAGGATGTTTTCATAATTTCTTTATTAGCCCAAAGGAGCGTTAGCCCAGAAGAGCTATTAGTCTCAAAACGGAATTTTGAGTTTAATCACTATAAAAGTCTAAATCACTTTTCTAATTGCTGCCACAAAATATTAGAGCTCTGTTATTCTTAAAAACTATTCTTAAAAAAAATTAAATAGTGAAGAAGTAGCATGATTGTATGCATGTTTTTCGCACTGTAAAAAAAACAACGGTACCTAGGGGCATCGAATGTTGAATAACGTAGTCCTTGACCCGAATATGGACACCTGGAAGCCGTATTTTGAATTTGATTTATTAAGCATTTCATATTTTATAAAACGTTAATGAATTTTCGATTAACAAACTCAACGATTTCAAACTGAGCATACGGAAAAAAAATTATCTCCAGCGCGGCGAATCTGCCTATCGGAAATTCTAAAGATATACTGTATTTAAATGGTTTATTGTATATTTCAAATTTTGTAAAACTTTAACGAATTTTTGATCAACAAACTCAACGATTATTATTACTCAACAAAGTGAGCAATGGCAACATTGTACGAAAAAAAAAAACATTTTAGCCCAAAGGAACATTAGCCCAAATGCTCTGAAAATTTGCATATAAATGAAAACAAACGTCCCTTTGGGTGTAATATGAAATCTGAAAGCTTTCACATTCTTTTAATTTAAATTAAAGTAAATTATTTAATGATTAATTTAACATGTTAAGATTATTTGTAAGAAATGCCAGTCTAAAAATTCAATATTTAGCTATCAATATATTTGGATTACAAATGTAACCAACAAGATTGTGTTACGGATACAAAACCTTTAGATTTAAGATAGAAAATAAATATAAATTTGAATTTTTTTCCTTTGAACTATTATTTTTTGCGTATATTTTCATAAAGATTTAGTATGGGAAATTCAAAATTTATTTAAAATATTTTGTTATTTGTTAGAAAGATATTCTGACCGGTTAGCTGTTTTCAGACTGTAGATTCAGCCCATATGCAGTTTGGGTTTGAGACTACTATGTGGCTAAATGAATAATAGAAAATGAGCGTTCTATGGTAAAATAATAACCGATATTTAATTCCTTTTAATTACGACACACTGCTCTCAGAATTCAGAAATAAACCATGTTAAATCTACTCGGATTTCTTTATATATAAATAAACTTTTCTTTAAATCAAAAATCACTCAAAGATATAAATTAACCCAACGACTCACGCGCCGCGATTTAAACTGCCGGCGGTGATTCTGCCAGTCCATGTGTTTCAAACTTCACCGAGACACAGAACCCCCTACACAATACCACTCGGGAAAAACGATGCCACTCACCTTCTTTCCGCTGACTGCTTTCTCAGAAACGGCACATACTCGTATCCGGGAGTAAAAAAACCGGAGACGGGAAAAGTGCGGGAAAGAGCTTATCAGGAGAACCTGGATTTCTGGGCATTTGAGGCTCAACTGGTGGTGGCTAGCGTCGCAAGGGTGGGTAGAACTTTCGTCTGTCGCCTTTTGCACGCACTGTCAGTGCTTATCCCCTGCGCCAGAGAGCGCGCTCGTCGCTTCAACTCCAGCTGTCTTGCGCGTTAATTTTAGTTAAAGCGAAAGGCATGAAAATATCGTGTTTAATTATAGAGAAAAGCTATTCTTCTTCAAGAAGGGAAGAAGGAGCGGCTGAGGGAGTTTAGAAAGCTTTTAGAAAATCTCAGGGAGCCCATTTATATCATAAAAGTGAAGTTTATGAAAGCTCCGGGAGATTTCGAGATTTAATTTTAAGCAAATTAAACTAGGCGAAGCGGTGTGTTGTTTATTTTTTGAATTGCGTTATTGTTATGCAACAGAGGGCGATTCCAAGTTCCTTGTTACACATTAAACGCAACAACCCGTGAAGTTAGTTTTAGCTCGAATGTTTTCAGAAATGTGATTAGTTTCAAGTATTTCATATTCAGCATATTAAATTTTCGTGTGCAATTTTTTTATCACTTATTGATTGAAACTGCAGGAAGAATTTATAACGCGTATGAAGAATGTCGAATGTTCAGAATATAAATAATTTTATATTAATGTAAATATATTTTGCCATTTTAATCAATTTAAAGGTTTTTAGGATTACTTCCAAAATAGGAAACCAGAAAAGTCAACGATGTCCTCACTGAGATTCGAAGTCAAGACCTTCCAATATGAGTGGAACATTCTTCTCAATTACACGACAATCTCTTCTTAAAAATTTCTCACAAATTATCTTGTAAATGAACAGGTAAGTGAAACTTACAATAGAATTTTGTAAGAAATATTACTTCTTTCTAAGATATATCTTCAAAGGCATATTCACAAATCTAGGTGAAAATTTGTAAGGCTTTTATAATAGACGATTCCTTGTAATAGAATAAGCAAATGTTATGAAAAATGGCATTACCTCGAGTATCTGAAAATTCGTATAAGTACCGAAAAAAAAAAAATATACGACACATTAAAAAGTATATAAAATCTGAACTACCCAAAGAGATGTTTTATGCGTTAACAGTAATATCACAAAATATTTAAAAGCAGCATATCCCTCCTCGCTTTGAAGTTGTTTACTTGTTAATCGAAAATCCGTTAAAATTTTAAAATGGGAAAAAGATAATAAAGAAATTCGAAATTCAAAATGTGGGCTTCCAGGTTCGGAAGGAGGATTACATTATTCAAAATTTGATGTCTCTAGGTACCGTTGCTTTTTTACAATGCGAGAAACGTACATACATTCATGCAGATTCTTCATTATTTCATATTTTTCGATTAATTCATAACTTTTTGCTAAACAGCTAGAAAGGAGTGCAATTAAAAAACTGAAAAGGAGTAGAAAAATAACCGTACGTTTATCAGTTGTGAAAGTTTTAAATTTATCTACCGAATTATTAAAAGCCATTATTTAACTAATTTCTTATATGAAGTTCTACTGGCATTTTTATGTAAAATATTGCCTAAAAAATTAGAAAAGTGAAGATGATTAATAACATGAGATTGCCTACATTAAAATTGTTTACGCAGCCCAGCCAGTGTATTGGTTAGGTACGTTGATTTCTGTATTAAAGGGCTTGGCTCGAATCCTGGAGAAGGCATAGATGATTGTAAATGCATAGTGTGTATACGGCATGGGGCACTCTAAATATGTGGCGAAACGAAGGTCCTCAGGATAGATTACTGGTAGGGGAAGATGGGTGGGAGGCCCTCAAACCCGTCCCTCCCCCGGAGTGCTCTTCATGCAAATTGGGGGGGGGGTGGAATTGAGCAAAGTTGAACTGTCACTTTCATGGTTCCCAAGGCTCTTGCCAACGACAGACGCAATCTTGCCTCTTTGCGACAATGAATTTCATGGGCTTGCACTGATGAAATCAGTTATAAACACAACAAAATTGTTTGTGTTAAAATTGTTCGGCAGGGGATGATTTGTAGGGTCTTAATTTTTTACCGCAATATTTTTTGTGACGATGTAAAACTGCAATGTTTTTGAACGGCTTTATTTTCAACGACGATGTTTTATAACCCGATGGCTTTAGACTTCATGATTTCTCCTTTACTTTCTTTTCTCCCACGACAACAAACAACGCAAGTGAAAACCCTTGCGTTGTTTTCGCCGGTAACCATCACGAAAAATAAAAGCATGGAGCTCCTAAATAACGAAATCTAATCATTTAATTGCATTGTCAAGTGTATGAGCCATTATCTTTTTTTTTTTTTGTTTTATCATGGGCGTCTCACGATTTTATTATTCGAGATATAAAATTGTAGGTGAATTATTTAACATATTATTCGCATTAAACTATGTAATAATTTTTTTTCTCCTTTCAGTGCATTAATTATCATATCAATTTTAAATAAACGTTTATTGCCTAAAGACTTTTTTAATTGTATTTTATTTTTTAATACAGAAAATACAGTATTTAATGAATAAATTCAGCTTCTGTACATAATAATGCACCAAAACAACATTCTCCTGAATCTACGTTGGTGATCATCTACGTTGGTGATTCTACTCTCAAAATTTGACTTTAACAAATCGTTCATTATAATGTTCAAAATCACGAATCAGTCTTTTTTATGTTTACACTTATAGTTTTTTTCTATGTTATTTTTAATACTATAGGTTAAACATTAGAAAAGAAAGTACATATTCTAAGGGATAACCGCATCAGAATTGTGAAGCAGAGGTCAAAATTCAATTAAGAGTGGCTCGAAATGCTCCAAAACCAAGCACATGCACCATATATTTAAAGTTATTTTTCTTGATATTCTTGGGGTCTCGTAATCAAGCACGTGTCAAACGTTTAAGCGTATTTTTCTCAAAACATCCGTTTTTGCAGATCCGTGGTTTTGGTGTGGTGACGCTCCGTATTTAATTACAAGTTAGTTAGCTATGTTTCTGACAGAATGTTTTCGTATCTGACAGAATTTTTTTCCCTTTAAATATTAGTTTTCAATATAAATTCCATACGACAAGAATTTTAAGAAATTTCACTGTATTCCGTGTAATTGTTCTTTTACCCGAGTTAAAATTGTTATCTATTAATGGTCAATGCATTTTCGCAACTACCCGATGTTTTACAAAAGTGCCTTAACATAATAACGGAAACTTTCAACGAAAGATGAATAAATAAACAACGGCATTTTAAATATGGAAGATAAATCCTTTTTATGAATGTTAATGAATTTTTGTACTAAATCAATTCTAAAGCCTCCAAAAGAAAATGAAAAATCAATGCAGAAAACTGTATCTCATACATGCAAAAATGGAGCACAGTAAGAACTCATTTGCAGACCTTGCATTATAAAATAATGCGCACTTTAATATTCTAGAATTTAATTTATTCGAATATCTGTAGAAGAGTGCAAAGAATAAAATAAATACAATAATAATTATAATAATAATAATGAAGCGATAGTAAGCAATTAGAAAATTTTGCCAGCTGTCGTACTTAACTATCACAAGTGAGGGTTTAATTCTAACTACTTACTTTTTAAATCCAACTCTTCGCTCTCAGTGTTATCCTAAAGCTATGATGTATATTACTAATGGCTTAACTAAAGCATGAAAGCACACATAAGCAAGCAGGTAAACTTAACTTTATTCTACTAAAAAAGAAAGAAAATCTGAAAGGATTCGGATTTTAACGTTGCACAAGAGGGTTTTTTAAGATTTTATGCTCTCATTTTTACCAATCTGCTCTTGGATCATTTCTGCTAAAACACTTTTTTCTGCCTATTTAACTTTATTATAAAGCATCGTTTTCATTGCATTTATGCCACATAACAACTGAACAGCAAAAATCACGTAATTTTTAAAAGTAGCCTAGCAGTATATACTCAGAATTCCCGATACATATTTAAGTGTTGGCATACATTTTTTTTTATATTCATTCGTATTTTTTCATTTCATCATATCACTGCCGAAGTTTCTTAACAAGATGACTTACGAAACTTTTTTGTCTTTTCATCATTAACGTTTTGTGTGTTTATATATCATGAATTTTGCACATGAAATTTAACAGCACACGCATAACCACATAAAATTCAACAGGAAAATCATAAAATATTTAAAATCAGTATATCTCTACAATTACCCATAGAGTACCCATAGTTACTACTTTAGCAAAATTCCATCTGAATTTAGCGACTTTTTAGCTACTTTTGCAGGTGTATCTAGCGACATTTGAAAGGGAGAGTTGGCATCCATGGATATGCTGCTGTTATCAATAATAGCTCGAATTGGAATTCTCTTTCCTTTTGAATTACAAACATATGCTACTGTAATCGTTAATAGCACAGTTTTTCTCCGTGTCAATAGGCAACTTGATGGATTTTATGACAACCATCTGCATTCTTGGTTATAATTGCCTCACTGGAAATTTCCGTTTTTGTTTTGTCTAACTGCTGATCGATAGCGCCATTGCTGGGTAAGCGATGATTATTACGTTTACAATAATTAAAAAATTGGCGGCATAACACTTTCAATTTATTGATATTGCTTTGCGTTTGCCGGTTTGTTCTTGCTTTTCGTGAAGTTCCTTTTCATTAATGTGGAAATATGAAGCTTTCTGTACAAGAAGGTACGATTTTTGTACTTTTCATATAGTTTTTCAATGTGAACGAAATATGTGTATCAGTGAGATAGTGTTTTAAATCTTACTCAAAATCAGAGGCGTAGCCTGAATTTCCATAAAGGTATGCTGCTGAACACCAAATGTTTCAAAATTATATTATTAACAAATGAAAATTAGAATTACATGTATTGGAAAGTTGAATATTGTATTTGCGTATTAATATGTTGTTTTTAAGGTCTCATTCAAGTTTTTATTTTAATTCATATTAGTGGTCCGCCAAATATAAAATTATATATGTAGTGGTCCGTGAAGTTCTAAGGGTTGACGGCAGCTGATATAGTTTCTTCCTTATTTATCATTTAAATAATACATAGCAAAAACATTTGGCAGGGGTAATTTGAAAAGTGAATTGGACACAAAAGTGATACGGGCAAATCAATCTTCTT